CTCCAAGTCCAAGTCGTCTCTCTCTCTCTCTCCAAAAGTAGTCAAAGGAGAGAGAGAAAGACAATTTTTTTTTTCTTTTTCCTTTTTGTATTCCTCAACTCTTAAAAAAGGTATAATAAATCTTCAATGTCTTTTAAATTTCGTAGTTAAATATAATTGACACACATAATGGGTTAAATATCTTGATACATCTCATCATTATTATATACTAATAATTTTCTTCCCTGACACATTTTTTAGATTTGACATAGGAAAATTACACAATCGAATTAAAATAGTAATTTAGCCTCATTGAAATTACTTGCCATTAAGAGTGCAAATACAAATTAAGGAAAGAAAAATTCCTAAGTAGCTTATAAAAATACAATTAATTAAATAACACTTTTGTATTCATACTTTAATATTTTATATATAACTTCCTATTTGAAAATTAAATTTTTATCTTCCATCCAAACATAAACATAACTAGATAGATGTATTACCTTTTTGAGGTCAAATGTTCAATCCTCACCCTCCACATTTTGGTATAATCAATTTCATGGTAATAAAAATGAAGATTTAAAACATCAATCTTTATTAATTTTATTTTTATTAAACTTAAAATTGACGTTTTGTTTCTAATATATATAATTACACTATGGATGTGGGTTATCCCTAGCTAATATTTTAGAAACATAAAATATTTTTTCCAAAAGAAAATTTATATATATAAGCAAAATTTTTTACATTGAAAATGAAGACAATAATTTAATTAAAGTTGATTTCATATTGGTAAGAGTTCAAGGGATGAAATGGGTGGGTGTGGATAGGAATTAGCCAACTAAAGTCAGATCATTTGTCATTGTCACATACGGTATACCTATAAGTTTATTTTAAACATTTTTTAATTTCAAAAATAAAAAGGAGGCCAATATATATATATATATCTCGGCTCGAGAAGTTCTTTCATCACGTTTTTAGCAATAAAAAAATAAGATTTAGATTCTTGTTGTAATAGGTTATTAATACAAAATTTAGAGATTATATTTAAACATTTGAAAATATAAGGACTAAAAGAAAATAAGTAAAAAAGTTTAGAGACCAAAATAAAATTTTAACTTAAATTATTTCAATGAAACACACGGTTGCTTTGCTTAAAATATTTCTATTGATAAGTGTTCAAACACCTAAACAAAATCTAAAATAATTAAAGTTAGGATAAAGTAGAGAAGAGACGAAGAGAAGAAAACATAAAACGAGTAGGTATCAATTACTGCTGAGCTATGTTCATGTTGACACAGAAATTTGTAACTTAAAAGAAAGTTGTCGACATCTAATTTAGAATCATGGTATTAAATATCTATCAACATGGGTGCGATATCGACATGAATGGTAAATCAACATTTCTATGATATTGCAAAAAAATCAACGAAATATGAAAATTATAAATAAAATGTCAATATAGACAAATTATTAATATTAATTATTCTTAACTTATGAAATGTTTATTTTATTTATATATTTTTCATGATGTTTTATTTTTATAACTTCGAATATCGATCAAAATCTACATTTTATTAATATTTCAATCGCCATTTACATGAAGTTGAATAGAATATCCATAATAATTGAGATATTTTTATTTTCTTTATATTTCTATTAAATACAAAAAGTCAAAAAAATAAAAAATAAAAATTTAGTACAATATGTGGGTTGGAAGATCGAAACCACAACCTCTTGACTTGAGATAATTATTATGATCGAAACTATGCTCGACCAAAAAAGTAAAAGTTAATAATAATAATAAAAGTAGAGATATGATGACTTTTATCATCTTTTAAAAGCATCAAGACGGCAAGCATGTCAAGAAGGAGGGGGAAATAAAAGAGAATTTAAAGTGTCATCGTCTTGGGGCCCATATGCCACGTGGATTTCAGACGCCCATGTTTTTTTCTTTTTTGTTTCCCTTTTTGACAAATTAGATGAGAAGTGAAATTTTATACCTTTTTTTTTCTTTTTAAAACTATACTATTTCTTTATTAAAATACATTTTTTAATATTTTCATGATTAAATTATCAATTTGATCCATTTAACTTAAGTTTAATTTTAATTTAACTCATATAGTTTAGATTTAGTTTTAATTTGATCTATGTTGTTTTGAAATTTTTCAATTTGGTTCGTATATCTTAGTCAAATATTACAAAGCATCTATATTGTTATAAATTATTACTATATTGAATATGTGACAATTTTTATGAATTATGTTTTTTTTTAAAGAAAAAGAAAAAAATTTGATAGAATTTTAGGTAGGTAAAAAACAGAAATGATTTATGAGATTTATCAATTCAACTAAAACTTTCAAAATCATAAAAATCAAATTGAAACCGAATCTAAACAAAAAAATGTTGAATATTAAAATAAACCATACTTTTGTTAATAATTTACTATTTAAAAGTCAATTATAGACTAACTTGTTGATTGATAATGAAATAAATCGATAGGACAACGTAATAGCTTTTCCCTTTGTTTTTAATGGAAAAGAGAATATAATATTTTTTTTATTATTTGAGTGAAAATAATATAATAGTTATTATATATTATAGTTTATTAATTAATTAATAGATACGTCATCTATCTTTGTTTTTAGTATTTAATAAAATTTATTACTTACTGGAAATGTCATACGTGTGATAAAATTTGATTGGGTTTGGAGAGCCGTTGGGGTTTGCGGAGGGCGTGGTCCGATAAATTTAGACCGTACACGTGTCAAATCATTTACTTTGTTTTATTATGATTATTATTATTTTTGGTGTTCAAATTCGATTTTAATTTAGGTGTTTTTGGACTCTTGACTCTTCAACTCGGACCGGCAGCCACACAGATTGTTTGCATTTTGAAAGATATTTTTACATCAATCAAAATTCATTTTTTAGTTCTAATATATATATATATATATTGATTTTATCGAACTGTATCCTAAATTTATATGATTGGCCAATTGAACCATGAATCACACAAAATTTTATTAATAGAATATTTGAAATTTTAGATTAAAATACTGTTGTGTTGTGATCCATGTACTTCCAGGTTCTATTCATATTTTTTCAATTTTAGTCCTCAGTACTTTTAAAAGGTTCACTTTTGTCTCTCTACTTTTAAAAAGTGAATATTTTGGTCCCTATTTGTAAAGTTTTAACACAAATTCTACACATAACATAAACTGTTTAATATAAAATAATAATTACATTTCAAAAAATATATCGAAGGCAATGTCGTGTTAAAATTGTGATAAAAACTAAAATTAAGAGATCAAAATGATCATATTTTAAAAATAGATGGCTAAAACAAACATTTTGGAAACACAATCTTAAAATGAACCAAAATTATCTCCATCTTCATCCCCACTTGAATTGAGGACTTATTAAGATGAAATTGAAAATATAAAATTAAAATTGACCAAGATTAATAAATGAAATTCTCTAAGAATTACCTATTATTTGTGAGCTACTTTAAAATATAGTTTTTTAAATGCTTCTTGCAATAAAAGTTCGATAATTTTTTTTCTTCAAAATTATAGCTTTATAAAAATAATTTTAATTTTTTAGGAATTGTCGGCTCGAAAATAACTAATTCATTTATTATTATTATTATTTTTTAAAAGCACAAAAAGTCAATATATTAATTGAGGTAGGTTTGGAAAGTTTTCATGATAGAAAATTTTGGGGTCTAAACTCCAAAGTGGAGCCCTCTTGTGCTAAACTTATTTGATTGGATTTTTTTTTATTACTAGTTGTTCCTAATTTGTGGTCTTTTAATTTTGTAGAATTTAATAATAATTTTTTTAGTATAGGGTATGAAAATTTGAACTTGAATAATAAATAAATGTAGTTTACCCATCAACTATACCATGTTGACAATATATTTAAAAAGAGTTTGAGGTATCGCTTTTAACTTTTAATTTTATTATTAAAAACATGATTTAGTATTGACACAATATTTAATAGTATTATAATAATAACAAAAACTACCCCTTAAAGTTGTTTTTTAGGGTTAAATAAATGTTTTAGTGTTCTAATATTTGAGTTTTTTTTTCCAATTTTTAAGAAGTTTCAATTTAGTATCTTATGTTTTAAAAATTTTCAATTTAGTTTCTCGCTATTGGTTGTAAAAATTGATTGATGATAAATTATTACATTGCATGACGCTTAGTAAATTGGCAGAAATTTTGGAAGAGAGTTTAAAAAATCATCAATCAAGATTAAAAAAAGAAACTAGAAATTTCTATAAAATTTGTAGAAATTGAGAGGGTTAATTTGAAACTTTTCTTTTTTAGATGACCTTTTTTTCCCTCTAAAGTTACTGTCAATCCACGTCTGTAAATTTATCATTAGAAGTTTAACATTTACCAACGATGGGGAACTAACTTGAAAAATATTAAAAACATAATATATTTATATGAGATTTTTTAAACATATAGAAGGTAAATTGAAAAAATATTCAAACGTTAAAGACTAAAGCATATAATAACCTTTTTTTTAATTAAGTAACACGATAAAGACATTTTTTTCCTTTTTTTGTCGGTTAGTTTTAAGTTCTAATTTTATTTTACTTCACTATGCTCATGAGAGATTTTATTAATCTTATATTTAGGAGTTTTAGTCGAAC